TAATTAAATAATTAACTTAAAATTAATCAAAATTAATTAAAATTTATTAATCACATTTACTAATCATTAATTGAGATAACTAATTATCTCAAATCAAACTCAATAAATGTGATTAATTTATTTTAATTAAGATTAATTAATTTCATTAATCATAAATTAAACTAACTCATTTAATTAATTAATAATTATATACATATATTCTTTTTTACTTTTTAACCTCTTTAGTTTTTTTTTTTTTTTTGATTGGATCGGGTTTATCCAAGCCAGAAACACGATCCACTGCTCAAAATAAACCCAAACAGATCAACCATGGCGAAGGAAACTCGCAATTAAAGTTCATCACTCTTAAAAGAAAGAACACGTTTGTCATGAGAAAATCACATTCGCCAATCATCAAAGAAAGAGCAAATTCATCAAAACACAATAGCTTAGTTAAACTTAGATTCTCATTCATTTTCAGATAAACATATATAAACTTAACATCATGAAAGCAGATAACAGAAACAGGAGGACGAAAGAAACAAACATGGCGGAGTTTTCTAGGTAACAGATCGGAGTCCAACCTGGCGGATCCCTCCCACGAGATCAAGTCCAGATCATCCCCTTCACTACCTCCCAAAAGAACTCCTCTGTTGCAGGAAAATACCTAAGATGAAAACCCAAAAAAAATGCACAATCTTGCTCGGTGAATTCTGGAAGTTCAACGATCCTCCTCTTCTAACTGCTGTTTCCAACAACACCCCAAACTCAGACCAAAAGAACTTCTCCCGAAAAGAAAAAACCCCTCCTCCAAATTCAGAAGTCCTTTCCTATTTATACAAAATCAAACAAAACCCTAAACTCCCCTCTTCTCTCCTCATCCAAACCCTTCAATTTTTCTTCTTTTTCCTTCCACCGTTGATCGGGTGAGGCCAAAACTGGCCCTGCAGAACAGCCAAGAAAGCTGGAGCGTGATGCCATCCTGCAGGCAAGGCAAGGACATGGTGTGGGTTTGTCTCATGCTTGGTTGGCTACAGGGACAAAGGCGCAGCAGCAGGGTCAACGCAGTAGGGGGCGCAGGGCAGGGGGCGCAGAGCAAGGGAATCTAGGTGTGATCGGGGCGCAGGCTCGGTGTAGCAGGGGCGCAAGGGCGCAAAAGGGAAAGTGCAGGCGCAGTAAGCAGGGGCACAGCTCGGTGTAGGGCAGGGGCGCAGGGGCGCAGCAGGGGGCGCAGGGCGTAGGGCGCAGGGGCGCAAGCGCAAGGCAATGGGATTTTTCTGTTTTTTGGTTTTCTGTTCTGCCGATCCTCTTCCTTCTTCTTGCTGTGTTTCCATTTTAAAAGAGAGAGAGAGGATTAGGGTTGACTTAGAAGATTCCGTCCCCCTTTTTTTTTTTTTAGGTTAATGGGTTTTGGGTAGTTGGTGGGCTTGGGTTTTTGGATTTTGATTTTGGGTTTTTCTTTTTTGGTCTAAGGCTTAAAATTGAAATGGGTTGGAATTGGACCATTTAAGATAGGTTTAAGGTGTAAATGGGTTTTGGGTTGAACTTTAATGCATTTCACCCTTCAACTTTTCATTTCTTCAATTGGGTCCCTCATCCTTCAACTTCTTTCCAATCCTCTTCACGAAATCCCCTTTTTACCCATAAACCTAACAAGAAAACAAAGGCCAACATATTAGTTAAAATATAAAAATAAAACTAGAATA